AAGAAGAATACTGAAGAACAAGCATCTACAGTACAACAAGAAGACCAAGAACACTAAGAATCTGCAGTACAATGTACAGTACAGCAAGAAGACCAAGAAAAAGCATCTTTAGTACAGCAAGAAGACCAAGAAAAAGCATCTACAGTAACAACGTACACTACATTAAGAAGACCAAGAACAACCATCTAGAGTACAACGTATACAGTACAGCAAGTAGATCAAGAACAAGTATGTACAGAACAAAGTACAGGAATCTAAGTATAATTTTAGTATGGATTTGCTGGTTGTTGTAGCCATTATTTTCTATTGGCTCAGGCATCTTGGCATATGGTCTGATAGAGTTCTTTGAAGGACCGAATGTCTCTGCATAGACTTGGTACAAGTCGGACTCTCTTTGGACTCAGAAAAAGAAAGAATAGAACTCCGAGCGCGAAGCGCGYGAAAAAAAACGAGCGCGTAGTGTGAGAGTCCGACTTGTCGTGCTTGGAAGAAATAGAATCGCAGGGACCGAATTTTGGTGCGAAACTCAGCCCAGTCACTATTCAGGGATGGATGATTAGCGCCTTTCTGAGAGACATGCAGCTGACTGAGGAAACATTGTCAGTTTAGGACACAAATTCGAAAAGAAGTTCTTTAATTTTAGCAAATGTACTCGACCCCGTTTTGGATAGGTACGTGCCGCCAGCGGTTTAAATCCCTGACCCTGTTTAAGACACTAAAAAAAGTAAAAATCCATACCCTGTTCAAGACAAATCGGAAAAATAAGGAATAGCTATCTACGCCGCAACCATCAAAACTGCAATTATACTGATATCCATCAAAGATAATAAGAAGTTTTTGATAACACCTGGGACAGGGAAACAGTATTTCTACTATTTCTACGGTGTTATGAAAATATTACCCTGTCCAAGACACACAAAAAAATTATATCGGTCTCTTAAGACAATTTCGGGTGAAATGTATACTCTGTTTAAGACAGCAAGGCCAAAAACCATACCCTGGCCAGCGGCACGTCCCCGTATAGCAAATATATGGGAGTACCCCCCCGGGCATGAACTTTTGATGGATTCATCCGGCGAGTTTTCATATGTTTGAAGTAATTTCATTGCTGAAGCGACGATTTATTTTATTATTTTATTTACTTTTAAATTTAATCGTATGAGGAAGTAGCTGATCCCATTAAAGAGTGCTCAATACACAAAAAGTGTAGAGCTAGTTATATATATGATATCAAAGAGGCAAGATTTTGCTGTAACTCCGAGTTTCGTGCTACGCACTCATCAGACAGTATTTAGTATTTAAATATTATTTAGTATTAGTATTTAAATACTGTCTGATGAGTGCGTAGCACGAAACTCGGAGTTACAGCAAAATCTTGCCTCTTTGATATCATATATATACTTTTAAATTTAGTTATTTAAATTCTTCTTTATTAGATGTGATTCGAATATTGATACGAAACGGTATATTGCAGCAATCACGTCTTTGTTACAATTGCCGTACGTCAAATATGCTTCTACGACATGCCTTTGATTTTCTCTAATGTTTGCATATCCTATTATTTTAAGTCCTAATTCAATTGCATCTTTTACTGTACGCATTTGGTTATTCTAAAGGTTTACGAAAATTATTGTTGAAGTTTTCCAGTCGATCGAATGAGAAGATATCAACAAGTGATCTGGTGATTGACGTATATTGGCTACATGACGCGTCATGATTGGGTGACTTTATGAGGCGTTCTTGATGACGTTTATACAGGTCGAAAACTCAACCGGCAAATTTGGCGCGCTGCAAGTCCGAAAAGTCCATTGTGGCAGGGGCTAAAATGGACTTTGTGAAAGTCTAGTCTCTGGAATGTGTCAATATGTCTCTCAGCAGGAGCCCATTAGTAATGGGCTCCTGCTCTCAGCTCACTCAACCGTTAGAGGTACCTGCCTGTTTAAATCTTGTCATTATGTTCATTTTTCATTGTTATATCGCTATGCAACACAATATTTTCACCCCTATTAAAAAGTACTAACTAAAAATGTTTGTAGATTAAACGAAATTAAACGATAAAGCAAGCTCACTTATTTTCATTGGCTTTATCGTTTAATCTCGCTTAATCGGCAGTTTAGTTGGTATCTTTAAGGGGTGAAAATATTGTGTTGCCACGCCCTTTTTCGTAAGAGCCTGGTAGTTTAGATGTATTTCTTAAAATTTCCGACGATGACCCCTATTCTAATAGCCCTACTCCCCTCCTGCTGGGCAGTCATTCAGGATATTTTTAAAGATGAATCGACCATTAATACCCCTGTTCATTGAATASCACCGTACCAATCCGAAAACCTTTGAAGCACCATTCCTGATTTTTACCTCTAAAAGAAGGGAAAAAAAATCAAATTCCCACCCTTCCACATAAGGGAGTTCACCCCTCCCATCTKGAAATAACTGACAGTACGGTTGCTCGCTATTTCTTGATATTTTTTCCTGTTTTAGTTGTAGGAATCGACCATTTTCCCTCCTAAGTGTAGATAGGATAATACTAGAATATAAATGCTGTAAATTATTTGTTTCTAAACCGGGTCAGAGTTCTTTCAATTATTATTGCAAAGGTTATAGATTACTGACAGGTGTCAGGATTTCTATTCATTTAGTGCTTAGTAAAAGTTTATTAAAATGTTAGGACTTAGTGTAGAGTGACAGGTCAATTTCGAATTAATCTTATTAAGGGTGTACTGACATATCCGTTGCTAGGGAAATTCAGTAGTTCTCTAAAATGACAAACAAAAGTAAAATCGCTTTCGTGTTGAGTATTAAGCCTTCC